TGGAGGGTGCTTACTTAACATTGAGGTATGTGGTGAGAATGGCCAGTTCCTTGGGAGACACAATAAGATAATTGGCTATTTGGGTTTATGGAAGAAAGTGTCCTGGGAAACTGACCCTCTAAGTTTTCCACTGACCTTCAAGTTTCTAGTAGATAGCGAATGATGTACTTTTGAATGAGGTAAGGCATATTTGTCCCTTCTGTGTTGTACGTACTCTCGATGTATATAATGATGATGGGAAATAAACTCGGGGTTGGTTGCTAAGAATGCTTCCAGTCCTCCCGGACCCTCTTTGTCTCTTTGTCTCTTTGTTTCCTTAAACCTCGCCTCCCACTTCAGGTACTGTTCTCTGGAATGCCGAGGCAGGACCCCAGCACTATTATGACATAAGTCATACAAACTCGATAGGTGGTGATATGTGGTGGCCAAAGAAAACAAAACCAGGCTCTCTCCTTGGAGCTTCCTCTACCTCGAACCTATAGAATTTGAGGTCTTCTTAATAAACTACCTTCTGTCTTAGAAAGGAAACATCTGATATAACAAGAACTTGAGGACCAAGACATGGCAAGTGAAGACAAAGCAAGTTAAAAAGCCCTGTTCACCTGCTAAATTTAAGAAAAATCACCCTCCATCTGGAATTTTAAGTATTTGCTTAGAACACAGCGTTTTCTTAAATACCCATTTCACTATTAGAACAGGTATAGATAATTCAATAACAGAACACAATTACTGTTTCCTAAGGATCATATTGAGAAAGGTATGTTTGCTTCCAAGAAGACAGTCATAAAAGTGACTGTCTGAAAGTACAAAACTGAATGGTGATAGGATAACAAAGGCTTGGGGTCTTGAGAACAAGGCTCACTCTTGGATCACCAGTGAATACGACTATTCAAGCCAATGTCTAGCAAACGATCCAGTTTTTACTAGAGAAGTGAAATCCACATGCCTTCTTAGTGTTCACTTAGCATTTCCTATCAGAAAAAGTTCTTCTTCCCATCTAACCTAAATCTTTTCTGTTATAATTTAAACCACAGAGTATACAAAAAGGTAAGTTTTATATTAAAAGTATTTTATCCACAGAGTATATAAAAAGATAATATATCATTATCCTTGGAATAATAAATAACTTCACATATTGTAAGACAGCCTTTAAATCTAGCCTGACTCTCTCTCTTTCTAAAGAAATAACCCTGGTTTCACATCTTCTCCTTATTGGTTGATGATGTCAAAATCATCNAGAGCATCTAGTCTCTTCACTGTCCATTCCATGGCCTGCCCAACCCGCCCCCCAGGCCAGTGGCCTCCCAAAGGCAGGTACTAAGTCTGCCTTGTTCGCCATTGGATACCAGGTACCTGTCATATCCGTTGAGAGAAACAATGAAGCACATTCTTCATACAATGGTTTAAAATACAATGGAACCCAAAGTTTTAGAAAACCAGTTAGGCAGAGAATAGGGACAAGCTTCTTGTCAGCAAGTACGAAAAGTTTTGACCTTGGATCCAGCCAAAGGAGCTTTGCCCAGGCACTTCCTGGTAATTGACTCCATTAAATAGGGTCCTCAGAGGTTCTGCCTTTCCCTCGCAAGAGCCTTTCTCATGTGCTTTTCCTTCTGGAAGTGGCAGTAGGAGGCTGGGTGCAGGGTCAGGTCTGCTGTGTTTTGGTCCTGGCTTAGGCATCAGTGATCTGCGTCTTTATGGGCAAAACTCCTTCATCTCTTGGGGCCTCAGTTTCCTCATCTATAAATTGGGGTTCCTTTCCAGTAGGGTCTTGCCATGGCAAGCAGGTGCAGAAAAGAGACAATGTAAGGCTTTAGAGCCAGAAAGATCTGGATTTGAATTCTGGCTCTGCCAACTACCACTCAGTATTATGACTGGAGGCTAATTACTTAAACGCTCTGTGTCTTCAGTTTCTTCATGTGCAAATACGAGTAACAATAACAATGAAAAGAGCTGCCCATCTCTGTACCACATTAACCTGCATTTTTCCCATACTATTTATCGCTAACTGAAAACGTTTCGTTTACTTAACAAATGAGTAAGCGCCACGACAGTGGGAATGTTCTGTGTCTTACTCACGCCTATATCCACAGCCATTAGAACAGTGCTGAGAATACACTAGGTGCTCAGAAGCTTAAGATTTCTGGGATGCAAGCGTGCATTAACAGCGTGTAGATTAAGTACCTAGACTCCATCCTGACCCATGAAGGGCCTTTCAGTATGTGAGAGTTCTTCCCAAGTTAGTTCATCAGTACAGAAATCTTCATAGATTTCAGTAAATGATGAAATTGGTGTCGCAATCTAAAATGTTCAGGATTAAACAAACCAAAGCAGTACCAAGAAATTCAGACCCCATACAGTTACTCACACCTTTTATAAACAAGCTTTAGCTCCTTCCAGTCAATAAAACTGCTTGTCCTGTGACCACGAGACAGAACAATCTGAACGATTTCCCGGGTGATCTTTTTCCTTTCTTTGTCAGGGAGAGTGGTGTACCATTTCTGCAGCCGTAATTTCCCTTGTCGACTGAAGAGCAATATGAAATGTATCTAGAACAAATGAAGGAGAGAAGAAAAAAAACAGAACTTGGTCAACCAAATCACTCCACGTAGACAGTAACATTCACTGGCAGGGTGTACAAATGATTGGAATTTTGAACAGATGAAAAAGTACTTACCAGCCTAAAAACTGTCTCATCTCTGAAATTACATTTAACCCATCAGAGAGCAAAGGGATGTGTAAATCACAAACATAGTTTATTTATATTATAGAGGAAAGATAAGTTCTTTTTTTTTTAATTTCTTTTATGAGTCACCAACTCAGTATAGGGAGAAAAATATATCATGGAAATATATAACTCTTTTAAGAAAACATTCGATTTTTCCTTCACAAGCCAAAAAAAAACCCCCAAAATGTTAAAAACAGTGGATGAGTTGACGTTAAAAATTACATCCCAGGGCCGACCAAGTGGCACATTGGTTAAGAGTTGGCTTGGGATGCCAGCTCTGAGCAGCAGGACCCGGGTTAAGATCCCACATGAGGGCCAGTGATGCTGCGCCCTCTATAGCTAAGATGGTGAACAACAGCTCAACCTGGAGCTGGGCTGCCGTGAGTCGCTGGTGACGGCGTAGGCTGCAGCCCCTGTGGCAGTGGGCTGCCATAAGCTGCAGTGAGTGGCCGGCAGCTGGCATGAGCCACCGTGATTGGCCATCCAGTGGCCGGCGACCGATATGCCTCACCCGGGAAGAACGCAATGATAACACCAACATGGGCTAGTGAAGCGACATCCTCCACAACTAGACTGAAGAACAAAAGGACAGCAACTTGTCTGTTCCCCTTCCCTGATTCCCCAATAAAATCTTTTAATAAAATAAAACAATAAAAATTACATCCCAGTTCTACATCACAACTATAGAAACATAAGAAGAATGGAGAAATAAAGGAGAGGAGTCAGAGAAGGATGTGAGGATGAAGAAAGGGGGGAAAGTGAGAAAGAGAGAAGAGGACCCTAGTCTAAGTCGTTTTAAATAAAAATTGAACATATTGAAGGTATACAACATGACAATTTGATATACATAGTAAAATGATTACTACAATCAAGCTATTTACCATATCATCAATTCACATAGTCACCATTTTTTTAGGGTGATGACAGCACCTGGAATACACTGTCTTATCAAATTCCCAGTGTTCAGTACACTATTAACTATGGTCTCCATGCTGTAATTAGATCTCTAGACTTACT